ACGTGTATGGGAAGCAACCAATCAATGTTTCTCACACCAATGTTTCTTTCTCTCCCTCCCTCCATCCCTTCCTCTCTCTCTTTAAAAGCAATGAAGATAATGTCCTTTGGTAAGGACAAAAAAAAAATCAAACTCAACAGTATAAGCAGGTTTTGTTATTATCCACATTTACAGATGAAGAAATTGAGTCTCCTACAGAGTTTAAGTGACCTCACCAAGCTGTATGTGGTAGAGGTAGAACTGAACTCTAGGTCTATATTCTTAAGTAACATTGTACCCAACTGTCTGAGAAAAAAAGAGGTCCTCATGCGTTTACCATTAGTGAGAATAGGATGGTCTCATTTTCATCATCTTAATGCCAAATGGAAAAAGAATTCTTCCTCCTCCCTCCCTCTCTTCCTTCCCCAATCCCTGTACACATAGCATAAGCCAGTCACTGTGCTGGTACTAGAGATATACCAGAGTAAAGGAGCAGCCATTTGAGGGAAGGAGAGAGACACAGGTGAAGAGATGTGAACTGCAATAAGAAACTGGTAGCTGGGGAGCAAGATGTCAGCAGGGTGATGGCATGCAGTGACAAGGAAGAACCTTGTCTGGCACAATGCAGGACGCAGGGCCAGCCCCTCAGGCAGGGCATGAGGAGTATATTGTGAAGGCGAGTACTGCAGAGGAGGCCTGGCGGGGTGATGAGATGGGACACCTGGCATCAGAAAGGCCTCAGCAACCATTTCCCAAATAAGATGTCACAACGGACAGCACAGCCTGAGGCCTTGTGGGGCTGGGGTTTGATAGAAATGTTGTGGTCCACCCCAAGCTAGTTACCTGACAATGATCAAATAGATTTGCTGGGGAAAAGTCTCATTAATATAACGAGAATGATTTGTGTGACATCAGTGTAACCTGGAAGTCAAGGAGAGTGGACTAGAATGCATGGGTGTGTCCAATGGTGATTTCACTGTACTAATCAGTGGGGGTGGTATGCTCAATTGAGTGAGCATGTGTACTATGTGGCCATCACACTCAAAATGACTGAACAAATACAGCAACAAATCTGTGTCAGATTTTGCATGAGGCCTGAACATTCCTCCATGGAAACTATTTGGATAATTCAAAAGGCTGCAACTACGGGCAACCAGTGATTGGCAACTTCATCATGACAACGCACCTACTCATGCATCACGTCTTGTACAGAGATTTTTGGTGAAACATCAAATCACCCAGGTAACTCAGCCCCATTATAGCCCAGATTTGGTGCCCTGTGACTTCTTTTCACAAAACTAAAATCACCTTTGAAAGGGAAGAGATTTCAGAGCATCAGTGAGATTCAGGAAAATACAACAGGGAAGCTGATGGAGATTGGGAAAACTGTGTGAGGTGCCTACTTGGAAGGGGACTGAGGCGTCATTGTCCTACGTACAGTGTTTCCTGTATCTTGTGTCTTCTTCAGTAAATGACTCCTTTTCTTCATAAGGGGTTGGATATCTTCCAGACAGATCTCATATGCCTGCAATTCACTGGCCTTTAAACCCAACTTGTGGCTTTCTTGTATCAACTGCCTTGGATCCTTTCATTCAGCCTCTTGGTCCTCTGTTCTTTCTGATTTCACTCTGTTCCAGCCCCAAGGCCTGCTGCATTCTCTGCGACTTCCTGATCTAGCTCATCTTCCTTCTCTGACATGCAGGACTCTTCTGGTCACTCTGTATCTCACTCACTAGTCCTTGTCATCCCTGGCTTCTGTGAACAGTAATGGGTGTCCACATGGGACACTGGCCACAAGACCCCTGGTCACATCCTGCTAATGGGCTGGCACCACCACTAGACCTGCTTCAGCCTCAGGAGGGATTGGGAACTGCACAGCTGCACCTGCAGACACTGGCAAGGCCCAGATACGAGGACACCTCCTCCAGGTCCCCTCTGTTTCTTCATATCTATATCGTTTATGTAAGCTTCTGAAATCTAGTTAACCAATATTTATTGATAAGCTATTCCACTTACACTCTTCTGGAAATAAAAGAGACAAATAATAATTTTCTGTCCCAAGAGAATTCATAATCTGACAAGGATAACTAAATGGAGGAACTTGCATTATACCCTCTGCGTAGTCTCAGAGTTCCCACATTTACACATTTACATCTCTTGCCCCAAATTTTCCCTCAAGCTTCAGACCTACACACTACTCCCTACCTGACATTTTTACTTGGCTGTCAATAGCATTTCAAAATTAACATATCTAAATTGTGATATTCTTCCCTTCCTGTTCTTCCTCTTCTCTGTAACAGCCTCAATGTCCTCAGAGTCCATTTATAGACCCCTATATATAATCCATCAGTGAGTCCTGTCCATTCTACCTTCAAAATGTATCCTGAATCCATCCACCTCTCTCCAAGTCCATTCTCACCACCCCAATCCACCACTGGGCTACGGCAGGCCCACAGAGCCCTTGTGCATATTTGAGAATAGGTGCCCTTCCTCTGGGCCTTCACAGCCTGGCACCAGGATGTTTGCTGAGAAACAGAGCACGGGCTGGATTTCACCTTCCATTTGACCTCCAGGCTGGCACCCTGTGCAGTAAATAACCTGCAGAAACACAGTCACGCCCCTGCCACCATCTTTCCTCTACTGCTGCAGTGGGCCTGTAAGTGCCCCCACCCCCATAGTCTATCCTCCACATGGTATCCAGAGTGGCCTTTTAAAGTCGTAAACCCAATTGCTTCACTTCCCTGCTTAAAACTCTTGCTTATTACCTTGATCTACAAGGCCCTAACACATCTGGTCCCAGTCTACCTCTCTGACCTGCTGGCCCACCCTTACTCTGACCACCTTTCTCTCCCTTAAAAGTATAAAACATCAAGTTCCCTTCCCTTTGACTGAGGTGTCTGCTTTCCTGCCTTCCAGCTTGAACAATTGTACATAGAACAGGATTAGTCCTATTTCATTATTTAGCAGTTATTTTTAAGGTAATAAGCATTCCTGGCCCTACCAGCCAAAACACAGCTGGGACTTCACTACAGACTTGCCCCTAACCATAAGGTCCCTCCTGCCTGTCCCCATCTAAGGTAACCGTAAGTATAAATCTCAGTTCTCATTCCCTTGATTTCCTACTTCTACATGTAATCCTACATAATTTGGGGGTAGTTATTTCAGTAGTCTTTAATATTATAAAAGTAATCATGCTATGTATTCTTATAGACAATTTTCACTAATATTATATTGCTAAAATCCAATTATATTATGCATCACTTAGTTTATTTGTTTTGAATGCTGTATAATATTTCTCAGTGTGATGATATGGCATTGAGTTCAGTGTGAATGGGCATTGGAGTTCTTTCTAGGTTTTCACTATTGGGAGCCAGTTATGAATATTTATGTGCATGTCTCCTGCTGAACATGTGCACAAATTTCTATTGGCATAAATCTAGAATGAAGTTGAACTGTTGGGTCACAGGTGCACAAATGTTCAGATTAGGATATAATGACAAACTGTTTTCCAAAGTCATCATACCGGGTCACACTCCCACCAGCAACGTTGGAAGGTGCAGTGGATCCACATCCTCTTAACCACTTGAAATTGTCAAACTTTTTAAATTCAGGGCCAGTCGAATGGGTGAAAAAGGATATCTCAGTGTGGCCTGATCTGTATTTCCATAATTACTAAAGATAATTAGTACTACTTAGTATGTTCACTAGCTGTTTGCATTTCCTCTCCTCAGTGCTTCAAGGTGTCAACCTGAATGTCACCAACACAAAGACAACTTCTCTGACCCTCACCATGTGAAGGTCACCGCTCTCTAGCATGCTACTGTTTTCTTGGTGGCATCTACTACTATCTAAAATTACCTAGTTTGTTTGCTGATATATGAGCTGTCTCCTTCAACTTGAATACAAGTTCAAACATCTTTGCTGCCTCATTCCCTCCTCCGTCACCAGTGCCTAGAACCGTGCCGAGCGCAGAGTGGAGGGATGAATATATGAGGGCAGAGATATGTAACAGACCAAGAGTTACGTTCCAGAATCTGAGTTTCAGTCTCAGCTCCCCCACTTACTAGCTGTGTTATCACAAACAAATTCCTTCAATCATCTGTTCTGAATTGTCCCGTGTGTAAAACAAGTGATAATAATATTCCTTATTTCATGGGGTTGTTATGAGTTTTAAATAAGTTAATACTTACAGAGTTCTTAGAACAACATCAAAAAGTGCTAAGTAGATGTCAGTTGTTATTATTAATGTGTAATGTTTGTTATTTACTCCATGGCCTGGGAACACAAGCACTAAACCAGCCTGGGTACAATGAACATCCTCCCTCCCACAGGCTCTATACCCCTCCTCATAAGCCCACAACCTAGAGAAAAGTACAGGGGCACTTGGAGAAAAGTTTGGAGGGTAGTTTATTTGCAAGAAAATGGTCTGGTCATCCCACATGAAAAAAAGTTAAATCACAGCATAGAGCAAGTGCTCAACAACACGGGATGAACAAATGATTCACAAACCATCAATCCAGGCATCTTGTAACACTAGCCTTGTATTAACATTGCACACAAAGTCCAGACATTCTCCCCTCTGTCCCTGTATTCAGATTCCTATTTTCAGACAGGAAAGAGAAGTTAGAATGGCGAAAGGCAAAGAAATACCAGCAGGCTGGTTAAGGAACAGAGAACTGAGACAGGGAGCAAGGGTGGAAGGTGGGGAAGGGGGAAGGTGGGAATTTCAGATCACACTGTGGCACTGGCCTCTGCTGTGGAACATTGAAACACTGAAGATAAGAACGTAAGGGAGTCCCTCCATCAACTGCCCACCCAGAGAATTTTTCTTTTCAAGGTATGAATAGGGACAGGGGAAAAATAATCCAGAGAGAGGGGTGAAGAAGGGAGTAGAGGCCCAAGGAGACTGATGGGGGAAGGGGAAGCCCAAGGCAAACTTCACTTCTCCATTTGCCCAGGGGGAGGATGGTCCCATTAAATCCATGGCCCCAGTCAATGTCACCTTAGCAGGGCGAGCTTACCTTGTTCTGCGACCTGGAGCCCCGCTCCATTTGGAGCCCTCCTTGCCCCAAAGTGGGAAATGCGGCCTTGGTTAAATGCACCAGGAAGCAAAGGCGAAGTGAGATTCCACTGAGAATTCCAGCAGGTTCACTGGGAGAAACTGTTTCCATTTGAGAAGAATCAAGAGTCCTGGCCAAAGACCAGCTGCCTCTCGGGGTGTCAAATTCCGTGACAGCTCTAAGCCCCAGAGAATGCGTGGCCCTCCGTGCCACCCCCCCCCCCCTCCTCCGGAGCTGCCAGAGTCCCTGGGAGGGGTTCGGGCGGGGGACACGGCGGGGCTGCCCACTGGTGGCTGGCTGGTTGGGGTCCACCTTTGAAGAATCCTACTCCTACTTGCCGGTCCCTGCTTCAGCACCGAAGGTACAAAATACTGAACCTGGTGATAGGATGCTCTGCCAGGACTGGAGACTCCCTCCTTCTCCAGTCCTTGGCCAGGGACAAGCCCGGCTGGCGGGGGCGAGAATACACAGGGTATTGCAGAACTAGAGGCTACTGAGGGGTGTGCATGCGCCCAAAATATCCCTCTCTCTCTCTCTCTCTCTCATACACACACACACACACACCCCGTTTCCCCTTGATCGACCCTCCAGAGGAAAGTAATTGTCCTTAAGCAGCATAAAGCAGCACGGGGCGGGTGGGGGGGGGTGGCGGGGGAGCCCTGTACTGTAACATGAAAGCCAACATTACTCCCAAGACCAAATTTGGGGATGATTTTAATTTTAAGGGTTGGATTTAAGCCCCTTAAAAAAAAGACATGGAACAGATTCTTGTGTGTGTGTGTGTGTGTGTGTGTGTAAGGCTGAATTTCAAGAGTTAACCAGAGCTTCAGGTAAAGAGAGGGAGGGATAGAAATCACAGATGGTTGTTTTCCCTGTACGAGGTTAGTAACATGTCTTCATTTCCGTGCTCAGGGTGTTCCATTGCACCGTCCTCCGCAGCCCCACGGAGCCCCGAGGTATCTCGGGGGTTAACACCGCCCGCCCTCCCCCTGCACTGGCATCCCCGGCCCTGAACGCGCCAGAGGCGGGCGGAGGGAGAGCCGGGAATCTCCACCCGCCCGCTCCCTCCTTCCCTCCCTCCCGCGCGGAGCTTCCCGCCTCGTTCTATTTATAGCTCCACTGCCAGCTGCTGCAGGGAACTCACCAGCCAAGCTGAGCATTCCCAGCTCCGAGAGCCTTCCAGAAACAGGGGATGTTCATAAATTCTGAGAATGGCAGAAATGTCTCTAGCCTTCTGGATTTTGATTGCTACTGTTCACTGTTTCATATGTTCCATTTCTGAGTTTAAAAAAGAGAGAATGAGCCAAGAGGATTTTGAGGCAGGTGAATTTCAGGCAGACAGTTTGTCAAGCTGGGAACCTTTTGTTACCAGATTGGGGCGGGGGAGAGACAGTCCTCCATGGATTTCCAGGCTTCAGGCTCATTTCATATTTTCTGTAACACTCAGCCTGTCTGGGTTTTTGTCTGTCAGTTATGTGGTCAAGGAGGCATGCAGCCATGTCAAGAGCAATGCAAAAATCACACCCTCTGCCATCTGACTGCTTCCTTACTGGGGTGGTGGGGCCGTGTCTCAGGACTGTCTGCCAGCATAATACACATATCAGGGTGGTCTCTGTGTCAACCCCCCACCACCAACCCCTTACAAACAGCAACAGAAAGGTTATTCGTGGTGTCACATATGGGTTTCCCAGCCCCAGGGGTCCTGGTGACACAGGAGAAAACAACACCTGCTCCAGGTCTCACATTCAGCATGAAATGAACCCTACTGCACTAGTCTAGAAGGCCCTAAACTGATATCTGGCTCCCCAGCCCCTCCCTTCAGGTCCTCCTTACTGAACCAGTGCTTGAGCCCCAGTCCCATGCAAATCCCCCAAAGGACCCCTGGGTGCTGCCGAGAAACACAACAGCATCTGCCCTCACAGAATTTGGCCGACAGATGTGGAAGGAAGCCCAGCTTCACAGAGGGCATTCCTGCCGGTCTAAGGCAGGGGAGCTAAGCCCATCCACCTGTGCCATTTTTTCCCTGTCCTCCGTCCTCTGGCCTCAGGGTTTTGCTTTTAGAGCGTATCCTAATAGTGACAGGTTATTATTTATTTAACTGTATTTAATCAGAATGATCCTAGAAGAGGGCTTCTGACTAATTTAACTTTCTAGTTATCTACCTAAAAACCTCTTTTGGTTTAGGTCCTTGTTATCAAAGGCTTTTTCCCTGTATTTACTTCCCTGCCCTAACATAGAGAAGGTTCTGGAGGTGCTATTTCTGAAATAAGTCAGCATCTAGGGGTTTATCAGGAGAAGGCAAGGGCAAAGCTCTGGAGCCCCTAAGTTCTTCCTGGCTCTTTATATGATCTTATTAAAATAATTTGTGCGTCAGTTCCTTATCTGTAAAATGTGAGTAACAGTAATAGCACATACCCCATGGGGTCCTTCTGAGTTTAAATATGATCATCTGAATTGCTTCGACCAGTGCCTGGCCTGTGCTCCAGCTCGAAACATTAAGTATTATTATTACTGCACAAACGTGAGCTGCAGTTGACTTGGTTGAATTTGTATAAAGAAGCATTTAAAGAAAATCCATTTCATCTATATAAATTTACAATATAAGTGGCTTTTCTTTTTGCGCTCCTTTTTAAAACAATTTTTAAAGTGCAGTTGACATACAATATTATTAGTTTCAGGTGTACAACATAGTGATTCGACATTTATATACCTTATGATGTAACAATAAATCTAATAACATGGAATCTAAACAAATGAACAAAAGAGAAACAGATTCATAGATAAGAGAACACACTGAGTGGGTGTCCTTTTCATTGTACTAGGGCAGATCCCCAAGGCATTTCATGTACCCAAGAGGCCCCTGGTCACTGATCCTGCATTTTCTTCTCTCAGGGAAACTAAAACATCCTCTCAAAGGGCCTTTTAAAAGTCTGCTGCTAACCTGTAAGACCCATCTGACATCTAGGGTAAAGAATCACCCACTTATAGGGGTTCACTGCTGTCCTGGGGATAATATTTTGATATATGAAAAGTTCTTTAAACATAAAAATACTCCATGAGGTTTTCCAAGGAACTACCTATGAAGGTGAAGTATTTCTATTTAGCTGAAAACTCACAAGTCAACACATGTTTGTAAAATGTCTAATTGCCACTCCTAAAAATTAGGCTCTAGAAAGTAGGAACTGGGTTCATAAGACTAGTGCTCCAACAAAATGGATTCATCATCAAACCCAATGTCCACCCTCTCTCTCTTTAGAAGAGAACCTCTGATTTTTAGGCCTTCAGCCAGATGTGGTCTGAACATTTTTACACTTAAGCTATAAAATAAAGTGTTGTGTGGAAGCTCCCCAGATTCCTGGGGGTAGTGGTTTTGTTCTGTGTCAACCTAGCTTACTGAGCTGGAACACTGTTTCTCAGAATTTCCCTCCCTGTTTTGTTCTGAGCTAGATGGGCAAGGAGAAACTTGCACCCAGTTTGGAAGGTAAAGCAGCAGCCGTATTTATACCCGGAAGGTCACTACAAAGTCAAATGCCATTGTCGCTTATGCACCTTGTCACTGATCTGCTGGCTCATCTTGTCAGCATGACATGGCAGCTGAGTCTGCAGCAACTCCTGCTGGATCCTGCTGTTTCTCCAGCTCCTGAACAAAGTGCATGTTAGCTCCATGACAGAGGGTGCCAGCTTTTCCTACAGGTCACCAGCATCACCAGAGTTGGAGGTTTGGAGATGGTTAGAGATTAGTACAGGTTTTACTGTGTCCTCATGGGCTTGTGGGTACCCTTGTTCTCTGTCACGTTATGTCTGCATCAGTCAGGATTCCATCAGAGAGACAGCACCAGTAGAAAGTATATTAAGAAAATTATTACAAGAAGTTGGCTAACACTGGAAGCTGGCTAGTCAAATCCGCAATCTGTCAGGTAGGCCATCAGGAAGAGCAGGCTGGACCCTCTCAGGCACAAGGTGAAGCTTTTGTCCAAATGTTGAAATTTCTTCTTGAAAGCCTCATTTCTGCCTTTCAACTGATTGAACCAGGCTCACCCAGATTATCAAGGATAATCTTTCCTACTTATAGTAAACTGATTAGCCCTGGCTGGTGTGGCTCAGTTGATTGGTGCATCATCCAGTAAACTGAAAGGTCATGGGTTCAATTCCCAGTCAGGGCACATGCCTGGGTTGTGGTTCACTCGCTGGTCCAGACACGTGCAAGGGGCTACAATCTATGTTTCTCTCTGACATCAATGGCCATTTCCCTCTCTCTCCCTCCCTTCCCCTCTCTGTAAAATCAATAAGCATGCCCTTAGGAGAAAATAAAAATATATAAAATAAAAATAAATGGATTATAGACTTTAGTCACTTCAAATTACCTTCATAGGAACTGATTTAACTGGGGATAATAGCCTGGCCAAGCTGGCACAAAAACCTGACCGTGAAAATGTCCGTCTCTCCTTCTAAATGGCCTGTCTTACTGTCTTCAGGCTCAGCACCATACACAGAACCAACACTGCAGAGCACAAACAATTTAACTGATGCCCACAGTTTGGAAAGTTAAGTTCCTAAAATAATCCCTTATTCTACTTCACCCTTAGTGGCCCTGCTTTTCTGATCACACCCTGACTGATCCAATGGCATTCGTACTTTGACACCCTCTTCCCTTTCCACTATCCTGCTGTCTAGAATACAGATATGATGGCTAGACAAGTGAACTTGGACATGAGGACAAGGACCCCACTACAAGGATGGTGGAGAGGTGGGCTGCAAAGACCTGAATCAGGAAGATTGCAGACACCACCCCACCCCTGAGCAACCTATCTCTACATTTCTTTTATCAGAGAGAGAAATAAATTTCTCTTTTATTTAAGCCACAGCTATGTTGGTATGTGCTGTTGCTTATAACACACCCATTTCTGACTGATGGGTCATAGAAATACATTATAAGTCAACCTCAAATGGAAGACTCAGAAATTGTGGCATCATACATTACAGTGGGAGAAAAAGTCACTGAACTATTTTACTTATTCCTTTTCACCTAGTTTTCAGGAAATCTGTTACAAGTAATCTCACATTTTACAAAAGCAGCCACTCACTGTGAAGACTTAAGTTCTTTTATTTTCTGGACCCCAATCGTCACATCTATAAAATGAAATTTTGAACCAGTTGGTTTCCAGCATAC